CTGACTCCATGTGGTTGGGAGTGCCTGCAGCCCAGGGGCCTCTCAAGGCCTGGCCTGGAGCTGAGTCCCTGTGGGCGACTCAGTAGCTCCCAACTTGAGGTGGGAGTGTTTGCTGAATGAATAAATGTATAGTCCCTGAGTGGGCAACTGTGGGCGATTGGACCTAATTTAGCTTTGGAAGCAAATTCCTGGGGCAGGGAGTCAGCCAGGAGCAAGGGAACATTTAACCCTTTGGTCCCTGCCACCTGCACCACCTGCAGCACGGTAATAATAATAGCAGTGAGTGATTTACCAATTTATTGAGCATTTATTATAGGCAAGCCCCTTTAACCTGCATAGCAAACTCATGATGGGATTAATTTTACAGAGAAATGAACGGACTTCTCAGAGAAGTGAAGTGACCTATCCAAGGCTACACTTCCAGCAAAGCTGGATTTGAACGCTGGGCTCTCTGATTCGCACTCTCCTGGGGGCCTACCTTGGCCCAGCCTGGACCACTGAGTTGGGGGTGCCTGCCTCTGGCCACTGCCCTCCTCAGCTCCATTAGTACCAAAAAACCCAAACCCACTGCCGTCAAGTCGATTCTAACTCAAAGTGACCCTCTAGGACAGAGAACAGCTGTCCCATAGGGTTTCCAAAGAGCAGCTGGTGGATTCGAACGGCTGACCTCTTGGCTAGCAGCTGTAGCTCTTAAGCACTGGGCCACCAGGAGTCTGCTCCATTAGTAGCCAGCCGTTAAAGAGGCAGAGTTGTGAAACTCGGATTCCGTAATTACCCACAGCTCTAAGACTTTTAAGGTTTAGCAAATGACAATTATCGCGCCTTGGAATCACATAGCCTTGTGTTCAAGTCCCAGCCCTGCCCCCTGCTTGCCTTCTGACCTTGGGACCTTGGGCAAGTGACTTACCCTTTATGCGCCTCAGTTTCCCCACCTGAAATTGGAAAGATCTGAGTCTCAATTTACAGTAGAGAAGGGTAAGCACACACACAGAGGCTATAGGGGCAAGGGGTCTCCGTTCGGCGGGGGCAGGGCAGTTCGGAGAAGGGGCTGGCCAGGGAGACCCCCCATGTGCATGGAAAAGATCCCGGCTGCCCCTTACGGGGAGCCCCGTGGCCCGACCCCAGTATCGGCCCGGGGCCAGGCCCAATCCCTCCCCCAACCTCCGCAAGCCCTGGAAGGGGCGGGGCCTTTGCCCCCAGAGCCCGCCTCTATCTTAGCGCCGCAGTCTCTGATTGGCCACCTAACTAGGCCAGTTCAGCTGACAGCTGCGATTGGCCTAGGCGCCCGCCCGTCCGCACATGGTCCTGCCCTCTCGGGGAGGGACTTAAAGGGCCGGCTTGCTCAGCGGCGGTGGGATGCCCCTGCGCTGACCGCCGGGGGCCCGTGCCTGCAGCTGCCGTCCGCGTAGACGCGCCCGGCCGGACCCCTCGCCACCATGTAAACGACGCCCGCAGAGAGACGCTGGCTCCTCGGCCCGGGACCCCTCCGCCCCGCCCCGGGCCCCAGGGCCCTCGATGAGGTGAGCGGGCAGCGGGCCGGGACGGGGGACCGAGGCCAGTGTCCGAGGGGTGCCCTCCAGGCAGGGCTCCTAGGAAGCAGCGGAGCTCCGGCTGCCCCAGCCCCGCCGCAGGGCTGATAGCCCCCGAGGGGTGGGGGTGCTGGCGCGGCGTATCTGCTCCCCACTCCGCAATCCGGGTGGGGGCCCTTCCTGGGCTGGGGGCGCGGCTACCTCCCCTCCATCACCGCGGCCGGGGCCCCTGAGGCCGGGCCTTCGGCAAGCGTGACCCCCGCGGCGCCCAGGCTGGGGGCCCTGGGCCCTAGACAATGGGGGGGGTGCTCCGTGGGGCTCACCTCGCGTTATGTAACCGCCTAAGGTTGCCATGGACACGGGGTGGAAGGGGGGCCAGGAGCAGAATAGAATCATGGAGGTCCCCAACCAGAGCCGTGGCGCCTCCGTTCTCATCTCCACTATTAGGGCTTGGCTTGGTCAATCCTAGAAGTCAGGGTACAGAGAGCAGCTTCCTCCTAGTGCCCCACTGCAAAACGGCGGATTCGACGCCCCTGGGCCTTAACTTGCCTATCTGTGAGGTAGACCCATCTCACCTGTCTTGGGCAGAGGTGGGAACTCAGGGAAGCCAGGGTCCTCCAGCTCTGCTGTCAATATGAGTGTTAATTTTAATCAGAATGGGCCCACTCAAAATGGGGAGCTGGGCAGGACCTTCTGGAGCTCGAACCTCCTCCCCTAGGGCCTCACCTTTCTGGGGCCAGGTGCCTAGCCAGAGGCCTGGGGTGGGGCTCAGTGGGGGTCTGCACCTTTGAAGATGCCTTTAGAGGCCCTCAAGAAATACAGGTTTAGCTACAATAGATGGATCCTGATAGAACGGGAGAAAAATGTGGAACAGAACTCAGATGCTTAAAACGTCCAGCCTTACTGGACCAGTTGAGACTAGAGGACTCCCTGAGACTGTTGCCCTGAGATACTCTTTGAACTTTAAACTAAAACTGTCCCATGAGGTCACCTTTTAGCTAAATAACAGATTGGCTGATAAAGAATATCACGTGTGAGTAATGAGCTTCTTTAAAAAATCAGCCGAGCTCTTAACCACTGTGCCACCAAGGCTTCAAAAATCATCTGTAGGAGAGCAAATGGTCAAACATTACTCTGAAACAAAGATGAGAAGGTAAGGGGGCAGTGAAACTAGAGTACAGCACTGGAAATGGTACAACCAGAAGGGAATGAATGAGAATAATGACACACTGAAAAATGTAACCAATGTTACTGAATAATTTGTGTAGAAATTGTTAAATGGGAGCCTAATTTGCTATGTAAACTTTCACCTTAAACACAATAAAATATTTTTTAAAAAAGAAATGCTAGTTTAGTGAAAGCAAGTAAATGAGAGTGCATGAATGAATGAATGAATGGGTTTAGGCAGCCATGTTGTTGTAGTTGTCATTAGTTGCCATCAAGTTGATTCTGACCCATGGAGACCCCATGTGTGTCAGAAAAGAACTGCTCCAGAGAGTTTTCAAGGCTGTGACCTTTCAGAAGCAGAGTGTCAGGGTTGTCTTCTGAGGTGCCTCTGGGTGGATTCAAATGGCCAACATTTCCACTAGTAGTTGAACATTTTACCGTTTGCGCCACCCAGGGACTCCTTTAGGTGGCCATAACTGCTGTAAACTGGAGCTAGGACAAATTTGCCACAATGTTTCCTCATCCAGGAAGCCCCGCCTGACTCCACTGCCTCCCCTATAGACGCCTCTTGGGGGCAGCCATAGCCAGGTCCCTCTCGGAGGCTACCTTGGGATGGTGGCCAGCCACGAAGCTGGCACTGCCCATACAAAGCCTCTTTCTGGTACCTTGGCTGGCTCCGGCCCTCCCCAAGCTGGAGCCTCTTAGAAGGAGCTCTCAGTCAGGTTCCTCGACCGAGGTGCCGGGAATGGGTGTTGTAGGGGTAGAGGGCTCTTCCTTTTTGGATAGCTCCTGAGCTGGCTGGCAACTGTCCCCACTCACAGGACGCACCATGCTGACCGGGGTGACTGATGGGATCTTCTGCTGCCTGCTAGGCGCGCCACCCAACACCGTGGGACCCCTGGAGAGCGTTGAGTCCAGCGATGGCTACACCTTTGTGGAGGTCAAGCCAGGCCGCGTACTTCGGGTGAAACACGCCGGGCCTACCCCAGCCCCTACCCCGCCGCCACCACCCGCCCCCGACGCCGCCCAGGGGGACCGTTCTGGCCTGGTCCGCTGCCAGCGCCGGATCACCGTGTACCGCAACGGGCGGTTGTTGGTAGAGAACCTGGGCCGGGCGCCACGAGCTGACCTCCTGCACTGGCAGAACAGCTCTGGGGAGCCGCCGACTGCCCTGGAAGTGGAGCTGGCTGAGCCAGCAGGCAGTGAGGGCCGCTCCGGCCCAGGCAGCCTGGGCAGCAGTGGGCGGCGGCGGCGTGCTCGGCGCCCCAAGCGGACCATCCATATTGACTGCGAGAAGCGCATCACCAGCTGCAAGGGTGCCCAGGCTGACGTGGTGCTCTTTTTCATCCACGGGGTCGGTGGCTCCCTGGCCATCTGGAAGGAACAGCTGGACTTCTTTGTGCGCCTGGGCTACGAGGTGGTGGCACCTGACCTGGCAGGCCACGGGGCCAGCTCAGCACCCCAGGTGGCTGCTGCCTATACCTTTTATGCGTTGGCCGAGGACATGCGCGCTATCTTCAAGCGCTATGCCAAGAAGCGCAACGTGCTTATCGGGCATTCGTATGGGTAAGTCGGTGCTGGTGTGGGGCTGAGGCCAGGGGTGGGAACTGTCAGGACGAGACGTCAGCCATAAAATGCTGACTTGCTTCACAAAATGAAACCCCATGAAAATCTGCAACAAGACAGACAGTTCCCGTCACTATTGCTATTGCTTTACATTGTTTTAAGGCAGTTTTTCAACCTCAGCACTATGACATTTTGGTATATTCAGTGGTGGAATTCTCATCTTCCACATGGGAGACTCAGGCTCAATTCCTGGCCAATGCGCCTCATGCGCCACCCCCAGTCTGTCAGTGGAGGCTTGCATATTGCTATGATGCTGAACCAGTTTCAGCAGAGCTTCCAGACTAAGACAGACTGGGAAGAAAGGCCTGGTGATCTACTTCCAAAAATCAGCCAGCGAAAACCCTATAAACTACAACGGTCTGATTCTGTTGTGCATGGGGTTGCCATGAGCCAGGGCTGACTGGTCGGCAGGTAACAGCAACAATAACAATTCTTTGCTGTGGGGACAGTTTTGTGTACTGTAGGATGTTTAGCAACATCCCTGACCTCAACACTCCCCACCTAGTCATGTCAAAAATGTCTCCAACATTGTCCAAGGTCTCCTGGGAGCACAGTCACCCTGGGTGAGACCTGCTGTCTTAGACTAAATTTAAAAATCAGCAGCTCAGGCTATCCACATGTGGTAAGGAAGCACTCATCAGAATCCCGTAAATTCTGTTTACAAAGGCATTTGTCAAGAGCCCATTCCATAGAAGGCTTTGGGCCGGGCACCTGACCATTGAGAAGTAGTACCATTCTCTACTTCATCCAGGAGGAAGTGCAGGATCCGATAAGCCAGCCAGGTTGAGAACCACTGTTTTAGTGATTGCAGCCCATGCAATAATACAAGAAAAAGAAGTAAGTTACATAAGTATCCAAAAGAAAGGAATCCAGGCTGGGAGGTAGCACAATTATTATTTGCTAAAGATGATAATGGAAACCCTGGTAGCATAGTGGTTACGAGCTATGGCTGCTAATCAAAAGGTCGGCAGTGTGAATCCACCTGGTGCTCCTTGGAAACTCTATGGGGCAGTTCTAGTCTGTCTTATAGGGTCACTATGAGTCAGAATCGACTTGAAGCAATGTGTTTCTTACAGATGATAACACCTAAAAAAGTCAATATTTGTGGCAAGTGACTCCTCCAATTAAATGAACACCTGTCTGGTAGTTCCTGTTGCGCTTTTATGTGCATCAACTCATAACAAGGCTATGAGGTCAGCACCTTTACCATTTCACAGATGTGAAGACTGAAGGTGAAAGAGGTTAAGCAACTTGCTCAAGGGCACATAGCGAGTCACTAGTACAGTCAGGTCAGCCTGACTCCTGCCTATATCCTGTCCCACCTTACAAAAATGCTTTATGATGGAAGCTTGTTAAAACAAACCCAGAGCCTTTGCTTTACAAATGAAAGGGCCAGGAACTGAGTATTTTAGGCTTGTGGCCGTATAGTCTCTGTTGCAACTTCTCAACTCTGCTGTTGTAGAGTGAAAGCAACCATAAACAAATGGGTGTTGCTGTCCTACCAGTGAAACTTATTTACAAAACATTGTAAATTTTTTAAAAAACATAAGTGACCATCCCACAGGCCATAGTTTGCCTACTCCTGCTTTAGAGGGAATGAGGAACTGGACTTTGGGGGCCCCTGAGGCAGTGGCCTTCTGCCTGGCAGAAACCATGCCCAGAGCGGGAGAGATCCTTAAAGGGAACAGATACATAGGCAACAGTGGCCTTCTCTGGGCACCCAAAGGGTCTGTTTAATCAGATTGCTTTTCTGACATTTGTTGGTTGTTGTCATTTCCAACTCCTGGTGACCCCATGTGTGCAGAGTAGACCTGCTCCATAGGATTTTCAAGGCTGTGACCTTTCAGAAGCAGATCTCCAGGCCTATCTTCTGAGGCTCCTCTGGGTGGGTTTGAACCACCAACCTTTCAGCTAGTAGTTAAACGCTTAACCAGAGACATCCTTTTGGGGTTATGGAGCATTTGAGAATCAGATGAAAGTTCTGGGTTTGGATCCTCTCTCTGGAAAAATCTGCCCTCAACACACACACACACCCACAGTCACACAATTTTCGAGCATTCAAGATGTCCCACCCCACCACATCAGGTGTCCATGGACCCTAGGGGAAAAATCTTGGCCTTCAAGGACTTGCCTGCCTCCTGGATGAGGGGAGAGCATTAACCCCTTCCCTGCCTCTCTCCTGCTGACGTTCAACCCTCCCCACCCCTGGCAGCGTCTCCTTCTGCACATTCCTGGCCCACGAGTACCCAGATCTGGTGCACAAGGTGATTATGATCAATGGTGGGGGCCCCACGGCGCTGGAGCCCAGCATCTGCTCCATCTTCAACATGCCCACGTGCGTCCTGCACTGCCTGTCCCCCTGCCTGGCCTGGAGCTTCCTCAAGTGAGTGCCCACACCCCAGGACAAGGACCCTGGCCCCAGAATCTCCAGAGTCGGGTGGAGGGAAGGCTGTTCGGCTGGGGCTGGGGCTGGCGTCGGGGGCGCCCCTGGTGGTGGGGCTGGCACGATGGGCTCCAGCGGTGCTTCCCCCACCAGGGCTGGCTTTGCCCGCCAAGGGGCCAAGGAAAAGCAGCTGCTGAAAGAGGGCAACGCGTTCAACGTGTCGTCCTTTGTGCTGCGCGCCATGATGAGCGGTCAGTACTGGCCCGAGGGCGACGAGGTGTACCATGCCGAGCTCACCGTGCCAGTCCTCCTTGTCCACGGCATGCACGACAAGTTTGTCCCTGTGGAGGAGGACCAGCGCATGGCCGAGGTAGGGGGTGAGGTCGGAGAGGGGCGGGCACCTCAAGGGGTGTGGCTATACAGAGGGCAGAGTCTCTGGAAGCACCACCTCTGCCTTCTGTGTGCAGGCGCAGGGAAGCAAAAGAGTTCCTCTATTGTAAAACGTGGAATCCTGGAAGCGCAGCTGCCCTGGATAGGTGTTAAGATTACCCGCGTCCCCAGCCACTGCCCCTCAGGCATGAATGCTCAGTGCACAGGGTCTGCGCTGTGTGTTTGTGGGAGACCAGTGAAGGGCTGTGTGATTCTGGGAGAGCAGGGCCAGGGAGTGTCAGACTCGATTAGAGACATCCAGGAAAGGGACTTGGGGCCCTTAGCATTTAGAATAGCTCTGGAGGAGCAGTGCTCACCAGGGGCGACTCTGTCCCCCCGGGGATAGTGGGCAACTTCTGGGGATATGTTTGGTTGTCATGCCAGGGGGTAGGTGCTACTGGCATCTAGCAGGTGGAGACCAAGGATGCTGCTTAACATCCTACAGTGTACAGGATGGCCCCCACCACAGATAATGATCCAGATCCAAATGTCAGCAGTGCCAAGGTGGGAAACCCTGCTCTGCACATTCTGTAGACACTTAATAAATGAGTAAGGACATGAGTTGGGCTATCGCATCCTGCTCCAGCAGGGCGACAGGCCATCTTCTGGCTCCCCATTGGGTGGAAGAGTAGGATGAAGGGTTGACTGCATGAGGGACTTCTGGTGTTTCCCAGTGGAGGATTTCCAGGACAGGTTACCCCACTCCCCCAGCCCCCCACCCCCCCACCCCGCTTCCCACTGGCTGGAAGGGGAGGGGTAAGGGTAGACTGCAGGAGGGACTTCCTGGTGTTTTTCAGTAGTCTCAGGACAGGCCATCCTCCGACTCCCCACTGGGTGGACTGGGAGGAATGAAAGGTAGAATGCAGGAGGGACTTCCTGGTGCTGAGAGCCGCACATAGATGATGGGAGAGGCCCAGGGATGAAGGGTAGACTGCAGGAGGGACTGCCAGGTGCTGAGGGCCATGAGTGGATGGTGAGGGAGGTGCAGGGGTGAAGGGTAGACTGCAGGTGGGACTTCCTGGTGTTTTTTTAGTAGTCTCAGGACAAGCCATCCGACTCCCCACTGGGTGGACTGAGAGGGATGAAAGGTAGACTGCAGGAGGGACTTCCTGGTGCTGAGGGCCATGAGTGAATGGCGGGGATGCCCAGGGATGAAGGGTAGACTGCAAGAGGGACTTCCTGGTGCTGAGGGCTGCGAGTGGATAGTTGGGGAGTTCAGGGCGGTCTGCCCGCCCACTGCCCCGCGTCCCCACAGATCCTGCTTCTGGCCTTCCTGAAACTCATAGAAGAGGGCAGCCACATGGTGATGCTCGAGTGCCCAGAAACCGTGAACACGCTACTCCACGAGTTCCTGCTGTGGGAGCCTGAGCCCATGCCGCAGGCCCTGCCTGCGCCCCAGGAGGAGAAAAAGTAGCCGCGGGCGGCGGGCATCACTTGGTGAGTGGAGGAGCTGGAGGACCTGTAGCCAGAGCAATTTCTGCAGCACGGCAACCTGGGCGGCCGCTCGTCCCACCTCCCCGTGGGCGGGGCCAGGTCAGGGAGACGCCCCTGAGGTGGGGCACTGGGGAGCCAGGTGAACGCCCTGCTCTCTGCTTGCGTCCTGCGGACCCATACAGTATGGGGGCCGCTGTCGGGACCCTGCGGAGGTGACCTTGTACAGAAGTCCCCCACCCCCCACTCCATGGCCCAGGCAGGCCCACGACCCCGCTCTCTGTCTTCGTGTCAGCGTGCTTTATCCTGGGACCCGCGAGCCCCTTGCGGACACCCCCTCCTCAGTACCTCCTTTCCACAGCACTGGGAGATATTATCACCCAAGGTGGGTGGGTTGGGGGGGAGGGTCTGGCACCATAGAACCTGCACATCTCAACTTATAACTCAATAAAAAGAAATGACAATCGGGGCCTCTGAACCCGTGTTGCGGGACCCCAGGGCAGAGTCCTCACCCTCTGAGCCTGTTTCCCCATCTGCAGACTGGCCTGATGCTGGTGGCGCCCCCTCTGGGCTGACCTGCAGAGACTTGAAAATGTCTGTGGTCCAGCTCCAGAACGCAGGGGCTGCTTGGGCAAAATTCCCGTAGAGGGAGCCAGCCATTCAGGGACTGAGCTCCCATCCATCCCTGGCAGAGAAGAGGAGGTCCACGTGGAGGTTGTGCGGATCAGGGGACAGGGTACTGGACTACTGTTAGCTGCCATCAAGCTGGCCCCGACTTATGATAACCCCATGCACGATGGAATGAAATGCTGCCTGGTCCTGCACCATCCCTGTGACCGGTTACAGATCAGACCATTGTGATCCTTAGGGTTTTTGTTGGCTGATTTTTCAGAAGCAGCTTGCCAGGCCTTCCTTCCTAATCCATCTTGGTCTAGAAGCTCCACTGAAACTTGTTCAGCATCATAGCAAGAAGCAAGCCTCCACTGACAGATGGGTGGTGGCTGTAAATGAGGTGCATTGGGTGAGAATTGAACCCAGGACTCCTGTGTGGAAGACAGCTGCCATAATTGAGTGCTCACTATACACCAGGCCCTGCTGCGTTCCTGACACCCATCAGCTCATTGAATCCTCGTCACACCGCCCCACCTGCACCCATTAGTTTCACTTATTATCCGCATTTTATCTCTCAACTTGGTTTAGGGTCACTTTCATCATGAAGACAATTTTTATTTTTAAACCACCAAATCTGTCTTTTCCTTTTATGTCTGGCTGAAGGATTTCCCTGCCCCAAGGCCAGAATTTTGCTCTTCTATATATCTAAGGAGCCTGGTGGTGTAAATGTTTAAGCGCTCAGCTGCTAACTGAAAAACGGGTGGTTTGAACCTACCTAGCAGCTCTGCAAGAGAAAGATCTAGCAATCTGCTTCCATAATGTAACAGCCAAGAAAACTCTATGGGACAGTTCTGTTCTGTCCCATGGAGTCACTGAGTTGAAATCGACTTGATGGCACCTAACATATTTTACTCTAATATGTGCCTATTTAGGTACAATTTGCACTCAACTAACTGAAAGGCTGGGGCCCTGGTGGCGAAGTAGTTAAGAGCTCAGCTGCTAACTGAAAGGCTGGTGGTTCAGATCAACCCAGCATCACCACAGGAGAAAGGCTTAGCTATCTGTTTTTGTAAAGGTGGTGGGTGGTAGTTCCCATGGAGTCAATTCTGACTCATGGTGACCCCATGTGATACAAAGTAGAACTGTTCCATAGGGTTTTCTTGGCTGTAATCTTAATGGAAGCAGATCACTAGGCCTTTCTTCCGCAGTGCCACTGGGTGCATTCGAACTGCTAACCTTTATGTTAGCAGCCAAGCACAGTTTGCACCACCCAGGGACCCTCCGTAAAAATTACAGCCATCGAAAACCCTTTGACACACAGTTCTACTCTAAAACACATCGGAATCGACTCAACAAAGGTTTGTTTTGGCATCTATCTCAGTTCCCTAGTGCTGCTGTAACACAAATACCACAAGTGGATGGCTTTAAAGAACAGAAGTTTATTCTCACAGTTCAGAAGGCTAGAAGTCCGAATTCAGGGCACTGGCTCTAAGGGAAGGCTCTGTGTCAGCTCTGGGGGAAGGTCCTCTTCTCTTCCAGCATTCCTTGGTTCTTTGGTGATCCTCACGTGCTTATCTCCCCCCGTTTGCACTCACTTGTCTCTGTATCTCTGTTGCTCTTTAAATCACACTGATACAGCCTCATCAACATGATGAAAACCCTATTCCCAACCAGAATCACATCCACAGGTATAGGGGTTAGGATTCCAACACATATTTTTGGGAGACGTACCCGACTTATTCAGTCCATTACAGTGTCTGTCCAGGTCTATCTGTGGTTTGTGTGAATGGTGGTGGTGGTGGGGATTGTCCCCTTGGTTCCTGAATCTTCTGTCCTTAACTCCACTGGTTTGTGAACCCATCTTTAGTTTACACCAGTGGTCTCAGCCAGGGGTGACTTTATCCCTCAGGGGACATTGTGATGTCTGAGACTTTTTTGCATGTCATCACTGGGAGTGGGTGCTACTGGCATCTAGTGGGTAGAAGCCAGGGATGCTGCTCAACACCTTATAGTGCATGGGACAGCCCCCCACCAGAGAATGATCCAGAACGAAATGTCAGTAGGGCTGAGGGTGATAAACCCTGGGTTAGACTAAATCCCATCTCTTCATAGGTCTTTTAGGACATTTGCATTCTTTTCTGATGACCTGTTTGTGCACTTCTGGGCCAATGCCATACTATTTTAGTTGCCACTGCTTTTATAAGACTTGATGTCTGGGAAGCCTCCCTGTGTTACACACAAGGAAAACAGAAGCTCAAAGGCCTCTTAAGCTCTGTACAAGTGGTAAATTCTAGGCCTACTCCAGAGACTGTGTCCTTAATTCCAATACCAGCTGTCCTTCCTGGAGCTTAGTAATGGGGGAATGTGAGGCAAGTGGAACCTCAACCCAGGTTACAGACTGCTCCCTGTGGGCCCTGGTTCACTGAGCCATGATGAGATCATGAACCCAGTGAGGCAGCAGATCACCTTAGGTCCCTAAGAAAACCCACTAGTCGATCCTGACTCATGGCAAGCCCATGGGTTACAGAGTAGAATCAAGCTCCGTTGGATTTTCTTGGCTGTGATCTTTACGGAAGCAAATTGCCAGGCCTTTCTTCCATAGTGCTGCTGGGTGGGTTCAAACCACTAGCCTTTAGGTTAGCAGCTGATTGCAAATCGTTTGCACCACCCAGGCTCCTCCAAGTCTGTAAACCCACTTCGAAGAAGCAACTTCTAGAAAATTTCAACTATCCCCTACAAACTAGGCTGTCAACATCATAGCAGCAATAGCTCAGATGGACAGTGGCTTGGTGTTTATGGAAGCTCTTTGTACATGTGACTAGTCTGCAACTGGTAACACAGCTGGAGTTGGGGTTATTAACCCCATTTTACAGCAGAAGAGACAGGCTCAGAAGCCACGCTGTGAGGCCCAGGTAGCACAGCGATTCTTCCAGCCGCTGGAGGTAGTATGGTCAGGTGAAGGGTGTGGCAGGGCCGGGACTCTCTGTGCGCTTGATCTCCCATAGAGGGAGATAATCAGGGAGTGAGCTCCTGTCCCTGGTGGGGAAGAGGAGGTCCAACTGAGGTCCACATGGGAGTTGTGAGGACCAGTGGACAGGGTACTGGACTGTCATTAGCTGCCATTGAGTTGGCCCCAACTTATGATGACCCCATGCACAACAGAACAAAATCTTCCTCTGGAGATTTTCCACCTGGGCTTCGGGGCCACCTCTGCCCAGTGCTGGGCTCTGAGCCAGAGCTTTACCTGCATGACCTCATTTAATCCCCTGAGGTAAGGCCTCTCACTGCCCGTGTCGTACAACTGAGAAAACAGGCTCAGACAGATAAGTAACTGGTCCGGAAATGGAGTCCCTGAGTGTATCTCTGAGGAGCCCCCAGCCTGCCCCACAAGGGGGTCCAGCAGCTCCTGTCTGTGACTGGCAAATAAAAGTGGACTCTGTCCACATGGCAAGGTCCAAACTGCAAAAGCACCAGAATGTTCCGAAGCACCTTTAGATCCCTGCTTGTCTACCTCTCGTGATGGGAAGCTCACTCCCTCCCTGGCAATTCCACCTCTAACAGAGTTCTCCTTCAGCCTGTTGGGGGAGCCCACTCTGCTAGCCCCACCTTCTGGAGGCAGAGAAAGGGGCTAGTATCTGCACATGGCAGCCAGGATGTTTAAACACTCCACTCTCTGCCCAGGCCAGATGGCTGGTTCCCCAGTGCTCAGCCACGGGCCTGGATGTCCTGAGGCCGCAGTTCTCGCTCTCCCTCAGCAAGGAAGACTAGGAGGGCGCGGTGTAGCAGGTGCACCCCTAGGCGGCGGCGCCGGGCAGGGGGCCAGCCCGCCACCACTCCGTAGCAATGCCCTTGTTTCTGGTTGGTCAGCATCCGGATCCCTGGGGAGATTAGGGGTAGGGTGACTGGGCAACTCAGGGACCGCCCCCGCAGCACAAGTATGTGACAATGAACCCGCTGTGTATTGTCCTCCAGTGGGGATAAAACGACAGAGCAAAATATGTGCACATGCAGGTACAGAGTTGGTGCTCAGTCATTGCTCATTAAACAAATGAACAGCCCTGAGGGAGGGATTGAGTGAATTGGTAGGCCAAGCACCCCCCACGCACCATGCGCCGGGCACCCACCTAGAGCATCCACAAGACACGCCTCTCGCGTGTAGGCCTCCACGGCGACCATGTGCTGGAAGCAATGCAGGGAGACGACACCACGGCCACTGGCCCAGATGTCCAGGATCCGGCGTACCTTGGCGCAGGCCTGGGGACCCAGAGTGGGGGCGGGGTCACAGGTCGGCCTACCAATTCTCTCCTTCCTCTGTCTACCTGTGCACAGCTGCCCCTGCCAGAACCCTGATGCTCATCATCATACCTGTTTTCCTGGCAGCCCATAGTGGCCAAGGGCTTCCCAGAGATGGGCATCTGGCCGGGCCCGTGTACCCTTGCCCACATAGAAGATGGCGCGGACGAATGTCTGGAGGCGTTCAGCCGGAGTCAGCAAGAAGGCTCGGCTTGGCAGGTCTTGAGTTTCCCTGGACAAAGGGAGCAGCTCAGAGAGGGAAAAGTGAAAAGAGCCCAGAGACAGTCCCCAAGGTCACAGAGCAGCTCCAACCCATGTCTAGTGACTCCACCTTATAGGATCAGAGAGGAGTAGCTATTTCCGGGGGCCAATTGGCATCTTGAATTGGATCCACCCACCTTTACAGATAAAGAAGTGGGAGACCAGAGAGGGCCAGATGCTTCCCTAAGGTCACACAGCAAGGAAGACCCAATCCCAGGAAGTTCCAGCTCCCACTCTTGAGTCTCACCTCGGGTCCAGCAGCAGATACGTGAAGCTAGACTTCACGACACCCTCACGCCACGTCCTGGCAGGGTCAGGCCACTCAAACTGCTGGGCCAATGTGTCCTCTTCTGCCTGGGCATCTGGGATCCACCCTGTCCGCAGGGCTTTGGCCAGCTCTGGGCTGTGCCCTGCAAAGTTTGGGCCTAGAGAGGGAAAGTGAGTCAAGGGAGAGGGAGGAAGGGGAAGTTCCCAGAGAGGCAGACAGTGGGGCTGGAGATGCCATGGGCTTAGAAGGGACTAACCAGGCCCAGCCTTGGCTTCTTCCAGCTGCTGGAGGTAGTGTGGTCGGGTAAAGGGTGTGATGGGCCCGGGACTCATTCCGTGAGCTCGGAGTTGCCGCAGCAGCTCCAGGTCAGACACGGTGGGGACCGGTGGGGACCAGCAAGTGGGGATGAGGTTCCTGACATCTGTGGACCACTCTTCATCCTCTGTCAGCCAGAGAGCAGCCACGTCGCTGTCGAGGGATGTCTGGTCATCAGTCAGGAAGTGGGGGTCGGGGAGTCCCAGTGGCGTTTGCCATGGAGGATTCTGGGCTGGACAAGGAGTGGAGGAGGTAGAGGAGGAGGAAATGGAGTCGACGGCATCTGCCGAGGACAGAGTCAGGGCCTGCAGGCAGGCGTTGAGTTCTGCCTCTCTGTTCCCCATTACAGCTCCATGCACCAGTGGTGGGGCACCCAGGGACCTTGGCACCCTCTGGGGGGGACGGACACCAGGCAGGAGTCCCTGCATGGTGTGGGGCAATGACCTAGCCCAGGGGGGGCTGTCGGGGGCTGAGTCCTCAGCTCCAGAGGCCTCCACTGCAGTGACAAAGGAGGCATCAGAGCTGCCATCCAAAAGCCCCAGGGGGGCCTCCAAGCTCCCATCCTTATCAGCAGCCTCTGGGGTTTTAGGGAGGTTGGGCTGTCCAGGAGCAGCCTCCAGGCCCATGTGCCTGCCGTCACCTATGCCCAGCTGGGCCTGGAGTACTGTGGAGTCCAAGGTCACGTCTGGAAGGCCAGAGAGGCTGGTGCCCAGTTCATTTTCTTCAGGGCCTGGAGTAGGGGAGAGACGGGATCAGAGAGGAAGGGGATTAGAGTGGGAGAGACAGAAACATCCGAGTTGGACTCAGACAGAAAGAGGCAGTTGGAGGTAGTGAGGCAGAGAGGAGGAAGAGTTGGACGTGGAGAGAGCCAGTGGGAGACAGCCAGGAACAGCTGGAGACAGAAACAGCCAGAGACAGCTGGAGACCATCGGAACACAGTCAGAAATGGCCGGAGACCACTGGAAACAGCTGGAGATGATTGGGAACTGCCAGGCAGCTGAAGACAGTGGAAACAACTGGAAGCATTCCAAGACGGTCGGGAAACTCAGGAGACAGTAGGGACGAGCCAGAAGCCGTCAGAACCGGCCTGAAACAGTTGGATACATTCTGAGATAGTTGGGAATAGTCGTAGATGGTCAGAAACAGCCGGAGATAGAGCCAGAGACAGTGGATGCCAAGACAGCTGGAAACAGAAACAGCTTGAGACAGGCGGAAACAAAATGCCCCAGACTCTCAAAGCTGGTGGAAGAAGCCCCGAAGCCCCGCGGTCCACACTCACCTCTGGGCTTGGGCTCGAGCTCCTGGGTCGGTGAGGGGGTCCGGGTTCGCATCCCCAGCTTCCCCAGGACGCGCGCGCAGTCCCAGTGTCCCTGCTGCTCTGCCAGGTCCAGCGCGCGGAGACCGTCCTGCGGCGGCACAGTCAGCAGGGGGCGCCCTAGGCCCTCTGTCCACCCGCCCGCCCGCGCGCGCTCTCCGCCGGCCCGCGCAGGGTCCCCACCTGGTCGCGCAACGCAGGGTCCGCTCCCTGGCTCAGCAGCAGCTCCAGGCCGCGGAGACAGCCCCAGGCGGCAGCCACATGCAGCGGGGTCAGTGCTTCGGACGAGCTGGGTGGGGGCCGGAGAAGGGTCAGCATCAGTCCTACTTTCCCATCGCCGCCCTTCAGCCTGGGGTCAGGATGTAAGCCTCTCCCCTCTGGCCCTGGAGCCTCCGCCCTCAGATAGGAACCCTTGATCCCCACTCTTTGGCCCCAGCGCAACTCAGTACCCCGCCCTCGATCTGGGACTCCAGTCACCCCCTTCGGACCCTGGTACCCGCCCTTGGGCCCCAAGCGCCACCCCCGGACTGTGCGGCCACTCCCTGGGCCTCCACGCCTCGCCCCCGACCTCTGACAGCCTGCCGCGTAACGGGCCGCCTCACCGGGCGTTGGGGTCCCCGCCACGCCGCAGGAGCGCTCCGAGGCAGCGGAGGCCGCGCGGGCGCCGCGCCCCGGCCGCCAGATGCATGGCCGCTGCACCGTCCGGGAGCAGCAGGTTGGGGTCGGCGCCGCGTCGCAACAGCTCCTCCACTTCCCTGCGGACAGGGGACGGCGGCGTCAGACTGGCCCCAGCCCTGGCCCAGCCCGGCCCTGCCTGGGCCCCAAGCTCACCATGGCTCCTCCGCCCGCAGCGCCGCCCGCAGCAATTGCGCCAGTCGGGCGGCGGCGCCCATGGCCAGGCAGTACCGACGCGCCGCCTGCCTCCGGCTTCCCGCGCGATTCCCGCGCGCATGCGCCGCGCCATCACTCCGCCCGGAAATCCCCACTTGGGGTCCCCCGCCAGACCGAGCCGCGCCACATCTCTACCGCGTCCACATCTGGCTCGGGGTTCGCGTCAGTGCCGCCCGGATCCGCGAGCCTGTGTAGCGCTCAGGCGGGAGCTTGGAGCCGCTGTAAAGAGCCCGGGTGTGTCAGTATCTCAGTTCAAAATTGGGGAGACGCGCCCTGCTGGAGGGGGTGGAGCTACGATCGGGGAACCGGGGTTCCTACAGTCTTGAAGTCTACCGGAACCCTCTACTGAGGAGACGTCCATTAGTGTGTTGTTTTTGCTTGCCATGGGGTCGATTCTGACTCATAACGACCCCGTGTGTGCAGAGTAGAACTGCTCCATTGGCTTTTCAAGGCTGTGACCTTTCAGCAGCAGATCGCCAGGCCTTACTTTCGAGGCGCCTGTAGGTGGTTTTGAACCACCAACCTTTTCATTAGCAGTCAACTGCTTAACCATTTGCACCACCCAGCGGCTCGCCATTAGTGCTCACAGCCCCAATGCTACAGGCGGTCTCCCTGTCCAACCCCCACCTCCAGAAGTTCTGTGCAGCAGTTTTCAACCCCGCGGGGGTGGGAGTGCATTACTTTGGTCACTGACACTAGACCTCTGCTGCCCTCAGTCTCCTCCTATGTAAAACGGAGAAGAACCCCCCGGAGGCTGGTGTGAGGATTGAACTAGCAGCCATGGTACACAGTAGGTGTTCAGTAAATGCTCACAGGGAGGAAGAGTAGTTGTTCAATAAAAGTATTTTAATTTCATATGGAGCTAAGAAAATCTTGCTATTAAACTTCTTTCACAATTGCACATTATCCAAACAAGTGGTTAAATGGTGAACCTGTAGTGTGTCTCCCCATCCCCTTCCTCTGTGGAACACCCACACTTCCCTGATACAACTGTCAATCTTCCAACCCCTGGTAGAGGTGTGATCTGTGGCCCATGACTGCCCTAATGGGAGCTCACAGGACCCAGGCAGGGCAAGTCACACAGGGGTGCTGGGCAAGCCTTCACTTCACCTGGTTTGGGGTTTGGGGAATGGTGGGACCATTTCATCCCTCTTCAGGGTTGGGAGAAGGCAGGGCACATTGGACATCAACCATACAGGGCATTACACATGTTGTCCAAGCACCTGGATACAGCCTGGCCTGAAGCCAACAAACTTCTCAGCCAAAAGAACCAACCGTTTTGGCTCAGTGGATGGGTTTTTCTGTCATTTGCAACCAAGAAGATCCCAATTAACACAAGTGGACTGGGGTGAGGGATTCTCACATTTTTATTTTGATGACAAAATCCCATGGGGAAGATCAAAAGCTACAACTGACATCAACCAGGGGTGGGGGATCAGCTGGGGAACATGGAGGATGGGTGCCCACAGCCTCTGGGATGCCTCCTGGAACCCCCTCAGGTTTCCAGAGGCCAGTTTAAGAACTACCACTCCAGGTCAAGGCTGTCACTGTACAGGAAAGCTGAGGTGCTCAGGGCTGGCTCAGACAGTGGCCTCCACCTCAGTGGCCTCGTCCTCCTCCTCTAGCAGGCTGTAGGAAGCATGGCTCTGGCAGGGGCGCTGCAGTGGATGAGCCAACAGCTTGGCCATGCAGTTGTGCAGCTCAAGAGCCGGCCCAGCCAGCGCCACCTCATACTTGTAGCTTGTGCCCTTGGTGTCCAGGCTGCCCATGAAAGCAAACATGTCCTGGGGAGGCCGGGGAGGGGCGTCTGGTCAGCCAGGGCTTCCCCTGGACAGGCCCTCCCTGCCCCTGGAGGGCTTCCCAGAGGAGGGGGCATCTGGGGTGGGTTTGGAAAGGTGAAGAGGAGTTTTCCAAGCACCAAATACTTTCAGCATTCAGCAACCATTCCCTGCCACCTGCACAGTCCTGCCCCTCTAGGTAGAGGCACAGTCAGATACAGACACCCCCAGCCCTCATGCTGCTCTTCCTTGAGGAGCAGGAAAGGCTTGACAGAGGATGGCCTTTTGAGTATTGAGGGGTGAGACGAAGCTGGTCTCCACTTTGTAGTTGGGAAAATTGAGGCTCAGAGAGATAAGGGGCCCAATCGAGGTCCCACAGCTACTCGCATCTGAGATGGGAAGGACCAGGAGAGCCTGAGGAGGGCCCAGGGAAGGCACAGGCAGGAAGGGCAAGAAGTGGGGGAAGTTGGGGAGGAGGTAGGTGGGACCCAGACATGCTCCCTGGGTCAATGTCCCAATGACCCCCAGCCACCCCAGCACGTGGCCCCTGCCTTATTTGGTCACCACGGGCTCACATCATACATGTAAGCAATGGGTGTTGAATGACTGAATGACCATGATCCAACTGGGCCAGGGCTCCAGGGCTGACAAATGGAAGTGGTTCCCCATGGAGGATCCCCCAGGCCCTGGGCAGTCACCTATACCTGCCGCCCACACTCGCTGTGGCCTCTCACCTTCCAGCTCATTTCCTCCTCCTTCTCGTCGGCACCATTGTGGATGTAAACAACGTCAAAGAAGAAATACGGGCACTGGAACATTTTCTGCAGGGAAAGAACACCAGCCTTGGGGGCTCAAGTCACCGCCTGCCTCCATGGCCATGATTCTGAATTCTCCTTCAGACCCTGAAACCCAGCCCCAGGTGCCCCATCCACTGCTGATGGCAAGTCCCTCCTGATGTCTAACTACCATCCCACTGGCTGCAAATGTCACTCCCTCTCCTTGGCCTCACCCACCTTCATGGGCTCCGTCAGGGAGAACTGGGGCTGGCAGGGTGGACGGCTGTAGACGAGGATGGTGCGGACCACATATGGGGGCGGGATCGTCTGCACATTCTCTGTGACTGGCAGTTCGGTCTTCTGCTGGCTGCAGAGCCAGAAGGCAGGATCAGGTCAGAGCACATTCTAGGGGTCTGCCTTACTCATCACCCTCAGAGAGCCTGGCTCGTCACCATGTGTGCAAGGCGCTTCCTGAGTTCACTGCTGCCTCTGAGTCTCCCCACCCCACTGTTCTTCTGCCTGGAGCAACTCCCCTGCCTCACCTGCTCCTCCAGTGAACCTTCGCAGATCCTTGGGGCTGGAGCCTGTTCTGTCCACCCTGAGCCCTAAGTGTCCCCCATCAGAGCTGAGCTGGAACTGCCTAGTGACATGTGCCTTCCCTACCAGGCCAGGGGCCCCTGATGCAAGGACCAGATCTTCTTTGCAAAGTCAGTGTCCCAGGTGGACCCCATCCTGGCCTCCAGGATAGGGTAATGGTTGGGCAAAGAGCATTAGGCAAATGGAGGGTCCTTAATATATAAAAAGCAAACCTTATCATTAACAAGAAAAAAGCCAACATCCCCACAGAAAAAAAGGAAAAGGCCACAAATAGACAAATCGCTGCGAGAATATTCAACAGTTTAAAATGAACAAAAAGAAAAAATGTTGAATTGGGAAATATTGTGTTATACACAATTTTTTAACAATGAACAAAGAGGCTCAAAGAAAAGCATAGCAAAGTAATGTGCTGCCTTTCCCCACCTATCAGATGAGCAGCACTTTCAGCAGCAGGATCAACCCCAGTGTTGGGGAGGTTGTGGAGAGATAGACCACCTCAGGCATTGATGCTCAGAGGTAAGTTAATTTCTTGAGAAAATTCTTTGGCAAAGTCTGGCAAAATCAGAAGCATGCTGCTCTTTGATCCAGCATGCCCTCTCCTGGGAATTTACCCAACAGACTCATTTGCAAAACTGGCTGAGATGGTTGTACCAAGCTAATCATGATGAGAAAGGCAAAACCAGGGAGTTAGTTAAAACAGGGGTTGGCAAGCAAAAAGTAGTTTTTACATTTTTAAAGTGTTGAAAAAAATAAAAAGTAGAATATTTCAAGACAGGTGAAAAGTCTACGAAAATTCAGATGTCAGTGAAGTGAATGTCAATGAAGTTTTGTTGACACCCATCCACACCCATCCATTATGTATTGTCTACGGCTGCTTTCTCAATGCAACGGCACAGTTGAGTAGTTGCAACAGAGACCCTAAAACCTGCAGAGCCTGAATTATTTACTATTTGGCCCTGTACGGAAAAAGTTTGCCAACCCCTGGGTAAAAAAAAAAAACATGGGGGTAGAGAAGCATGGGGCATTCATAAACTAATGTAAGACTCAGGGAAGGGCCTCTTTTCAGAAAAACACTTCCAGACAGAGAAGTGAACAATTGTTCCAAGGGGAGAGGCTGGGAGTAGCGAGGCCTTGGGGCTCCGCTGATTATGTCTGTGCTGTTTGAGGCTTTTGCCCACAAGCGATCCTTCCTTCTAAAGGTGAAACATTTTTCCCCAGGGACTTACATGAGGCTGAAGAGGCCTTCAAGATCTGGGGGGGGGTGCTAAGGAGAAGGCAGGCAGCAGAGCATGGCTGGGAAGGGGCAAACAGGTCTCCTGACCCTGACACTGTGAGTGCCCATTTCCCACAGCTCTGCCAGAGACATGCTGTATGACCCTGGCCATGTGGCTTGACCTCTCTGAGCCTTGGTTTCCCCTCAGCATGGATCAGGAGATAGGGGACTAGCACTGAATGCCCTGAAAACTCCTGGGGACTCAAAAATCCCTTTCTTTCAGGGTGGGTGATACCATCCTCACAAAGCATGAGCCTAAGGTCCCAACCCGCTCCCCTACCACTCCCAGTCCCGGCCATCCTCCCCCTTCACTTCCAACTGAATACTTTTTTTAACTTGCAGGGACCAGGGATCATATTCTATTTAAATTTTTACTTTAACGTTCAGCTAGAGTCTCTCGGTAGTGCAAATGATGAATATGCTTGGCTGCTAACCAAAAGGTTGGAGACTCAAGTCCACCCAGAGGTGCCTCGAAAGAAAGCCCTGGCTATCTGCTTCTGAAAAACTACCCACTGAAAACCCTACGGAACACAGTTCTACTCTGACACACATGGGGTCACCACGAGTCAGAGTCAACTCGATGGCAACTGGCTTCTATTAATGTTCAACTTGGCGTAAAATCTGCTGTGCCCAGGTTGAAGGGGCCATAGGAGTAATTGCAACTTTTGGGTCACGTGCTTCCATTTACTGAACCCTTACTGTGTACCTGGCCCTGCATGAAGTGCTCCCCATGTGGGTACAGTTTGGAAATCCTAAGTTAGAATTTGCAAAGTGCTTCTGGCGGTGGCTGGTGTTGAAGACAAGCTGTTTTTGCTATTTGTACTATGACTTTATCTTCCCAGGAACTCTATGGGTTAGGCGGTTTGGTGCCCCGTTTGGTTGTTGCTTTTGTTAGCTGTCATCCAATCGGCCCCCAGCACATGGTACCCCCATGTGTTACAGAATAGAATTGTGCTCCGTAGGGTTTTCTTAGCTATAATCTTTATGGAAGCAGATCACCAGAACTTTCTCCCATGGCACCACTGGGTGGGTTCGAACTGCCAACGTTTAGGTTAGTAGACAAGTGCAAACCATTTACGCCACCCAGAGACCTTTGTGCACACAGTAGGTGCTCAATAAAAACCAGCTGCTGAGCCTACCCCTACTCCTTGTGACCCTATGTGTTACAGAGTATAACTGCCCCATAGGGTTTTCTTGACTGTAATCTTTACCAAAGAGTTTCACCAGGCCTTTCTTCCATGACACCACTGGGTGGGTTCGAACTGCCAACCTTTGGGCTAGCAGCCAAGCACAAGCCGCCTTGTGCCACACAGTATCTTTGCCTCATTTTAAAGATGGGAAAACTGAAGTTCAGAGCTGGGATCTGAACCCAAGCAAACCTGAGCTAGCCAGCCCTCTCCCTGGCTCAGGCGACAGGAAGGGCCACCCCCCCCACAGGGGGTACCCCCCAGGAAGGATACTGAAAGTGGAGCAGGAGGCGGTCTCCAGGTCGTAGAGGCAGCTGCACAGTTCGCGGGGGTCGGAGGTCAGGCCTGACAGCTGCAGGAAGCAGAGGGCTCAGTGGGAGGGTCCAGGCCTCACCGCCAGGGTACCCGGCGCCCCCGCCCCACCTCACCCAGGCCGTGTCATCGTTCACCACCACTAGGGCAAACTCGTGGCTCTTGTCAATCTTGTGTTTGGTCCGAACGAACATCTCAATCATCTTCTGGGAGACGTTGAGGGCATTGGTTTTAGAGCTGTGGGGGGAGGCAGGCAGTGGGGAGGACTTAGGCAGGGGCTCCTGGACCGAGGAACCCTGGGACCCCTTGTCTACCCATCTGGGAAACCCTCCACCAGCCCCAAGATGATCTCCAGAGGCACAGGTTGAACACCAAGTCTGGGCCACCTCTGAGCTCCCACCCTCTCCAAGTAGGGCCCTCTGGCCAGCCCAGGTCTCACGTCCGCTCCTCTTGAGCCCACGCCCGAACTTGGTTTGGCCAGGACATTGTGCGCAGGCACCAGTGAGGGGAGGGCAGGCTCATCCACAAGACCCAACAGAAGCCCCCCAGGCCCTGCTGCTCGAACCTGCGGAGACCCAGATGGCTCAGAGCAGGGGCTTTGGGGTTAGCCAGGCCCGACCTGAATCCTGGCTCTGCTCACTGGCTGTGAGACCTCTGCTTCTCAGAGCCTGTTAGGGATTGAATTGTATCTCCCCCAAAATATGTGTTATCAATCCTAACCCGCTATACCTGTGGCTGGAGCCCTGGTGGTGTAGTGGCTAAGAGCTCAGCTGCTACCAAAAGGTGGGCAGTACGAATCCACTAGCTGCTCCTTGGAAACCCTATGGGGCAGTTCTACTCTGTTCTATAGGGTTGCTATGAGTTGGAATTGACTCTTTTTTTTCAATACCTGTGGACATGATCCCATTTGGGAACAGGTCTCTCCTTGTTATGTTAATGAGGCCATATCAGTGTAGGGTGTGTCTTAAGCCAATCACTTTTGAGATATAAGAAGCACAAATTAAGCACAGAAGCAAGCAAGCACAGATGGGGGAAGACAGATGCCACCTGGAGATCCCCATGGAGTTGACTCTGACTCATGGTGACCCTATGCGTGATCCCATGCATGCAGAATAGAACAGGGTTTTTCAAGGCTGTAACCTTTTGGAAGCAGATCGCCAGGCCTTTCTTCTGAGGCACGTTTGGGTGGGTTCAAACCACCAACCCTTAGGTTAGCAGTCAAGCGCTAAACCATTTGCGTCACCCAGGGACTCCAGAATGCTAGAAAAGCTGAAGACAAGGATTTTCCCCCTAGAGCTGACAGAAAGAGAAAGCCTTCCCCTAGAGCTGACACCCTGAATTTGGACTAGCCTTCTGAACTGTGAGAAAATAAATTTCTGATCTTTAAAGCAGGTATACTGAATCAGAATCTACAGTTTAACAAGATCCTCAGGTGATTCTTATGTATAATAAATTTTGAGAACCACTGCTATACTAGTGGTTCTCAGAATGGGTCCCTAACCACCCACATTAGCATCACCTGGGAACTTGTTAGAAATGCACATTTTCAGCAGGGGTTCAAACCAGAACCCATTCAAAGCCCTGCTTTAAAGCCACCCACTTATGGTATTTCTGTTACAGCAGCTCTAGGACATTGAGATGGTGGTGGGGGGAGAGAAAGGATCATATGAATTTTCTAGAAGTTGCTTCTTCAGACTGGGTTTAGGGACCTGGGGAGATCAGCTGTCCCGTTATCATGACCTGCGAACCAGGGCCCACAGCGGGCAGGCTCTAACCTGGGTGGAAGTTCCACCTGCCTCAGAATTCCCTATTGGCGAACATCCAGCTGCTCTGGGGAATAGCTGGTACTGGAAGTCTCTGCCCCTCCCTAGCCACAGTCAGGTGTTCGAGCCCCAAGACGTCCGTCTCACCCATTGAATGACTCCAGCTTTGGCAGTGACATTTCCTCTGACAGGTCTAGGCAGATGATCTGCAAAGGATGTTGGGGGCTGGTGAGGGGCCCTGGGTCCAGCAGCAACTGGTTGTGAACACCAGTCCCCACACAGCCCCACTGCCCAAGCCTTCCCTCCCCAAGCAGCCCCTCTGACAAGGGAATGTTTTTGTTAGTTACTGTCGAGTCAGCTCCAATTCATGCTGACATTATATATAACAGGGCCCCAGTGGCTGCTAACCAAAAGGCCGGCAGTTCAAATACACCAGGCGCTCCTTGGAAAACCTATGGAGCAGTTCTACTCTGTCCTATAGGGTCCCTATGAGTCCGAATCGACTCGACGGCAATGGATTTTTTGGTTTTATATATAACAGAATGAAATGCTGCCTGGTCTTGTGCCATCTTCACAATCCTTGGTATCTTTGTGGGACTATTATGTCAACTCATCCCATGGAGGGTTTTCCTCATTTTTGCTGACCCTCCACTTTACCAACCATGATGGTCTTTTCTAGTGATTGGTCTTTCCTGCTGATGTGTCCAAAGTAAGTGAGCCAAAGTCTCATCTTTGCTTCTAAGGAGCATTCTAGTTGCATTTCTTCTAAGACTGAATTGTTTGTTCTTTTGGCAGTCCATGGTATATTCCATATTCTTTGCCAACACCACAATTCAAGTGTATCAATTTTTCTTCTTTCTTTTTTACTGTCCAGGTTTCACATACATGTAAAGTGACTGAAAAGACCATGGCTTGGGTCAGGTGCACCTTGGTCATCAAAGTGACATCTTTTGCTTTTTAACACTTCAAAGAGGTCTTTTGACAAGGCGATGTAGTGAACCCCCCATTCCCAACCAACACTTACCACCTTCTCTGGACAGTTGACCCTCGGTGTTCGAACCTGGACCTCAGGGGCTGGCGGGGGCACCTGCCAGGGCTTGGGGCCGGCACCAGGCGGGTTGGGAGTCCCATCGTCAGCACTGGCTGCCTCACCCTCACCCTCGCTACGGCTGCCCACGCTGGCCTGGATCCCCAGCGCCCGATCCTCAGCCCCCTCTGGGTTGGAGCGCGTGCGGGGCCGAGGCTCGGCTGACTGCTCTTCTTCCTCCTCTTCCTCCTCGGTGGGGCTGCTGGGCTCTGCAACTTCCATAGTTCCCGTGTGGCTGGATACAGCAGGGATGGAGGACGCCAGGATCCTCCCCCTTTGGGGTTTAAAGAATATTTGATTAATAATAACAGTGACATTTCCTCCAAAAGGTCGAGGCAGATGAGGAAAGGGCATTATCTGCTTACTGACCTTAAGAGTCACCTCTTTCAGGGCCTCAGTCTCCTCAACTGTAAAATGGACGACTTTTACACCTGTCAGCCTAGCATCATCCACTCTGACTTCAAGTAATAACCTCCCACTTTTCTGTAGGGCTAACCTTGTCCCCCACCCCCACCCCCTTGACCAATGAGCACATTCCAGCACCCTGGCCACTGTGACAGGCTCAGTGATGGGCACATAACCCAACACAGGCCAGTAAGAGGCAGCTCTGGGACTTCCAGTGCTGCTATTAAAGAAGAGGGGCTCCTGTTGGGGGTGCAGGGCTGGCATGCCCACCCAGAAAATGACATAAACAGACTTTTGAGCACCTGGATCCAGCTATGCCTGAAGCTTACCAGTTCTATAAGCCAGCAACTTGCCTTTCTTGCTTAAGCCAGATTGAGTTGGGTTTTCTGTTACCTGAAACTGAAAGTGTCTTAGCGAAAAAAGTCATAATAACCTCTAGGATTCTCCTCCGAGGGCGCTGGGATGCCTGGAGGGTGTCTGTGCAGGGGAGAGGCACAGATCTGGGTGCTACAGGACCCTTTGCGAGAAGATACAACGCTAGTGGGACAGTTTGACTATCTGGGCAATGGGCTGCCCGGGATGGCCTCTGAGGGCCTTGCAGCTCCCACAACCTCTAAGGAAAACAAAGCTTTAACTGCAGCAAGTAGGATGGAGGCTAGACTGCAGAAGAAAACAGAGCTGAAGGCGGCAGCCTCAGAGCAGGGGAGGAGCTGGATATCTGGGGTCAAAGCTAGTGGAGTTGGGCCTCTAGGGATGGGCCCCGTACGCTTTCACCACCCAGCTTCTGCTCACCGAAGCCTGAGCCTCCCTCCAACTCAGCCGACGAATCCCTAGGACGCCGCCATCTTCCTGGCCGGAAGTGACTCTACCACGCCTCAAGGCCCCCTGGGAAATGTAGTTCTCAGTGCTAGCGGATAGATAAGCCTGACGACGCCTGTGAAGACTTGGAAGCTGAGAGGCTGGGACTGTGCTAAATGCGTTTAATTTAGAATGTGATAGGCTGGAGTGGGGTTTAGAGGAGCCATCTGAAACATGATTGGCTAAAGCAAGATTAGCCGGCGTTTCTAACGTTCCTGGAGGAACCAGATTAAACTGGTCAACTCTTCTACGGTGATAGGCTGGGGCGACCAGGGTGGGTGGGGCTTTCAAGGTAATAGGCTCAGAGAGATAGAGGAGTTCTAGCTTGCAATGTGATAGGCTGGGTGGGCGGGATTTAGGGTGAAGAGGAGGGGCTTGTGAGGTGATTGACAGAGCTGTCCTGGACCTCAGAGGGGGTGGATTTTCCAGACGGCGATGGGCGGGGCCTAGCCCCCAAACCACCCCCAATTATTAAATCTTTCTCCTTACATACATTTGCGTAAACCAAAAATACTAAGGCAGAACAGTTTCAAATCACCTTTTTAAATTTTTTTTTTTTTTAATTGTGGCGGTCGCACAGTGGTTAATCGCTGTTAACCGAAAAGTTAGCCGCTGGAACCCACCAGCTGCCCCAGGGGAGAAAGATACAGCAGTCTGCTTCCAAAGATTTACAGCCTTGGATACCCTATGGGGCAGTTCTGTTGTTGTTAGGTGCCATGGAGCAACTCATAGCGACCCTATGTACAACAGAACGAAACCTTGCCTGGTCCTGTGCCATCCTCACAATCGTTATGCTTGAGCGCATTGTTGCAGCCACTGTGTCAATCCATCTGTTGAGGGTCTTCCTCTTTTTCACTGACCCTCTACCTTACCAAGCATGATGTCCTTCTCCAGGCACTGGTCCCTCCTGATAACATGTCCAAAGTAGAGAAACGAAGTCTCACCATCTTCGCTTTAAGGAGTATTCTGGCAGTACTTCTTCCAAGACAAGTTTGTTCCTTCTGGGAGTCTGTGGTATATTCAATATTTTCGCCAACACCATAATTCAAAGGCATCAATTCTTCCTCACTCTTGCTTATTCATTGTCCAGCTTTCTCATGCATATGAGGCAACTGAAAATACCGTGGCTTGAGTCAGGTACATCTTAGTCCTCAAAGTGACATTTTTGCTTTTTAACACTTTGAAGAAGTCTTTTGCAGCAGATTTGCCCAATGCAATAAATCGTTTGATTTCTTGACGGCTGCTTCCATGATCTTCCAGGGTCACTATGAGTCAGAATTGACTCGAAGGCAGTGGATTTATATAGGTAACAGAACATTTGCCATTTCCTGAATTTTTTCATCATCCTTATCAGAAGCTCTTCATGCACACTTCTCCCTTGAGCCCCAGAACCACTTTGAGACTCAGTTTCTTTATTTGTAAAAGGATCGGTTAAACCTCCCCTAAACCAGTTGCCATTGAGTCGACGCCAACTCATGGTGACCCCAGAGGGTTTTCAATGTCTGATTTTTCAGAAGTAGACTACCAGGCCTTTCTTCCAAGGCACCTCTGGTTGGACTTAAACCTCCAACCTTTTGGTTAGCAGCTGAGCATGTCAACCATTTGCACCACCCAGGGACTTTAAGCCTGCCCAACCAAGAAGCCAAACCCATTGCCTCTGTTAGTGACCCTGTAGGGCAGAGTAGAACTGCCCCCATAGAGTTTCCAAGGCTGTACATCTTTACAGAAGCAGACTGCCACATCTTTCTCCTGTGGAGCGGCGCGTGGGTTCCAACCGCTGACCTTTCGGTTAGCAGCCGAGCACTTTAACCACTCCCCCAAGAGGGCTCCTTAAGCCTGCCCACATCTGCCAGATTCTGATTCAATGACACAGCCTGAAGGGGCTGTTTAAGCTGAGCCTTGAAGGATGAAGAATTTGTCAAAGAAACGAGAAGGGAAAAGGCATTTCAGGCAGAAGGAACAGCTGGGGCAAAGGCCAGGAGGTTTGGAAGAGGCTTGAAGTGGTCGTGGAGCCTCTAACAGGTTAATACGTCTGGAGCAGAGGTTAGGAGGGAGGCATTAGACCTCCTGGTCACCCTCCAGTCAGAGAACTGTTACTTGTCTACCCACAACCCTTGGCTTTTCATTCCTGGGAGACACAGAGGCAGGAAGACCCAGGCCTCTGGGAGACACAGAGGCAGGAAGATCCCTGTCAGTGGGATCAGACCCCAGCCTTTTACAGGAGTTTAAACCAAGTGCAGAAGGAAGAATATCTCAGGCAGCAGTTATAGCATACTCAAAGGTCCTGGGGTATGAGAGAGTTGAGAACCTTCAGCTGTCTTTGGAGGATGTAATTATGGCTAGAACATGGAGTACACCTGGGAGTAGGCAGCAGGTATACTTTTTAAGGGCCTTGAAGAGCTTGAAATTTCTCCTAAGGGCAATGGGGAGCCATAGAGGGTGTGTGAGCAGGAGAGGGACAGTGAGATCTCTGCCTGGGTGGGGAAGATAGTGGAGGGGGCCCGGAAGCCCAGGAAGCCCAGAAGGGAGCTGGCATCCAAGTGGGAGGGGAGAAGCTTGGGCTGTAACTATGGGACGGAAACTAGGAGGCCCATTTAAATTGGATTCAGGAAAAATGGGCAGAATATAGTGACCATCCAGACTCTGGGGAATCCAGCTAAATGGAAGAGAAACAGGAGCTGGCAGAGAAGCAGAGGTGGGACAGCCAGAGAGGTAGGTGAGAACAAAGAGCAGGACATGTTATGATTTGGCTCCCTGATGTGCCTAGCCCTGTGCAAAGGGCTTGTTAAAACTCCATGACACTATGAGAAAAATTTGATAATTATCCCCAATTTACAGATAAGGGGGCTGAGGCTCAAAGGGAAGCATCACTTGCTCGAGATTACTAAACCTGTGCCTGTCTGTGACCAAAGAGGAATGAGAACTGTGACCCCCAGCAGGGAAGGAATGTGCACAGAAGAGGAGCTCACAGGGGAACCAGACGAAGAGCGTCAGCCTGGGGGATCATTCCACATCCCAGGAAATAAAATCCAAGTTTCAGAGGTGAAAGAGCCACAGGCTTGGAGGCGACATGAGGAAGGGCTGACATTTCAGGAGCTGCACACGTGTCCCACGCTGGGGCTGGAGGAAGCCTGTGTCCTCAAGGAGGAAATAGTACAATAAGAGGTCACATGACCGGGGGAGGGGGCTTCCTGTTTCCCCTGCCTCTCCCAGGCCAGCCTTGGTCAGCTCAGGCTTGAGCAAGCAGTGGCCCGAGTGACCCCCGAGAGTGTTCAGCAACTTAGGCTTCTAATCAAGGTGCCCCCAGAGGAACAGAGAGGTAGAGGGGAGTAAGAGGGCCGAACGCATGGTTGGGACCTCTGGTTCAGAAGGAACTTAGGGAGGAGTGGGGACTTTGAAGTCCTGGTCCCAGCCCAGAGACGGGAGAAAAGGGACAGGAGAAGGGCATAGATTTGATGAAAAATTAAGGAGGCAAAAGAAAAGGGGAGGTCAGAGGCCCCTTGTGAGGTAGTGAGGTGCTCATCAAGAGAGGTATTCAAATATGCCAAATCAACATTGATAACTCAAGAGCCCTTCCAGAGAGCAAAATCAATGCCCCATTTCACAAGAGAGAAAATTGAAGCCACCATTTGCCCAGGACAGCAGCGCAGGAGCTGAGGACAGGCTGTGTTTTTAGGGGGTGAGGAAGGAGAAGAATCCAGAGGGCGCTGATCTCTGGACAAGAATGAGTGCCCGGGCCATGCGGCCCCGAAGTCGGCGAGGGAGACATCCTCCACCCGTGAGTGTCCGCCCCCTCCCCACTGTGCCCAGCCTCTCAGGAGCCCAGGGCCCAGCCCTGCCTAGCTCAGAGCAAGGACTTGGGGGATCATTTGCAGGGTGAGTTGGACCCTGTGGCTGAGAGTTCAGAGGAGGCGGAGGTGGCCACCGGGAACCTTCAGCCAGGCCCTGTACCACCCCAGGAGAGTCATGGCGAGTCAGAGCTGCTGGGACCTGCAGCAGAGGCTGGTGGGCAGGACATGGGGAGCAGGTAAAGGCCCCTCACACCAGCCAAGGCACCTATTTCCCACTTGCCATCCTGCCTATGCCCGTTCCCTGCTCAAACACCCACCATGGCTCCCTATTGCTCTCCTCAACCTGACTTTCAAAGCCCTGCACAATGCTGACAGTTCCTGTCTGCCAGACACCCCAGACAACCCTTCCTTTTCTAGAACTTTTTGTCCCTCACCTCCAGGCCTTTGGCTGGGCTGTGTCCTTTGCTAAAATGCCTTTGCAAAGGACAACTCCTTCTTCTCTTGAGAGTCCCCACTCTGCTTTCCCAGCCCCAGGCACCCCCACCTCCATCTGGTCTCTTCCCTGGACTCCCAGCCTCCCCTGGGCTGCCAGCGCCAGAGCACACAGCTCTTGGCAGCTCCCTACCCTGCTCACACCTCCCAGGGTCCCTGACGTTTAAGCCCCCGGAATTCCCTGCCAAGTGCCCAGTGACTCAGCTTCCTGGCTTGGTCTCCTCAGGACAGACAAGGAACTTGATGCAAACTCTGGCTGGGGAGTGGCCACAGCCATTGAGGGCTCCCAGGAGCCTACAGAAGAAGCCCACCAAGCCCCAGAGGTAGCCCCACAGGATGGGGAGACTGTCCTCCCCAGGCCTGGATTCCCCGATGTGTTCCAGACCCTCCAGCACGCTCTGAGCTCCCTGGAGGCAGCGGCTGCTGCATGGCGCCAGCAGCCCCCCAGCTGTCCTGGCCCAATGGAGGCAGACAGCGGGAGCGAGGGGGCAGCAGGGCCCCTCAGGGGGCAGGAGGAGGCAGGGGGCTGCCAGCGGGAGGCAGCCCGCCTGACAGAGAGGAACGCCTGGCTGCAGCTGGCCCTGGACAGCCGTGAGGACGAGCTGGCCCGCACACAGGCCTCCCTGCAAGCCATGCAGGCGGAGAAGGAGATGCTGCAGAGAGAGGTGAGTGGTTGATTCTGAGGGGGGAGGGAGGCCCTACTTAGGCAATGTTTGTTCATTTGTTCATTCCACACACATTTCTGGAACATCGAGTGTGTGCCAGACACTGCTGAGTCCAATAACCAGAATAAAGATCCCTTGCAAACTTAGTAAGGTGGTCAGGGAAGGCCTTAGTAAGGTGGTCAGGGAAGGCCTTAGTAAGGTGGTCAGAGGAGGTGACACTTGAATAAAGACCAGAAGGAGATGAGGTAGGAGCCATGCCAGGAACTGGAGGAAGAGTGTTCCAAGTAGCGAGAATAGCATGTGCAAAGGCCCTGAGGCAGGAGTGTGCCAGGCATGTTCAAGGAACAGCAAGGAGGCCAGTGTGGCTGGAGTGAGCAAGATTAGAGCAGGAGGTGACAGGACAGAGCTTGCAGGGGGGCCTGGTGGGCTGCATAGCGCTTTGGCTTTTGTTCCGAGTGAGGTGGAAACCATGGAGGGTTCTGAGCACAGGAGGGACATGACCTGACTCAGGTGTTCACAGGTGGCCTCTGGATGCTGAGGTGAGGACAGACTGTGGGGGGCAAGGGCGGGAGACCAGGGAGAAGGTGACTGCAATGATCTAGGTGAGCAGTGAAGGAAGTTGTGGAGGTGGTGAACAGTGGAAAAATTCTGGATGATGTTGAAGGTGGAGCTGACAGGAGTGGGCGTGAAAGCTAGAGAGGAGTTGAGGACAGCTCCAGAGTTTGGGGCTGGAGAGATTGGAAGAGAAAGATGGGCAGGCTGTGGGAGGGGATGGGCTGGGGGCGGGCTTCCTGGTGGAAGGAGATAGGAGCAACCCAGCTCCAACTGAGGGATGAATAGGAGTTTGCCTTCTGGAGAATACTAGATTTGCTTGGGCCCTGATCAGTTCAAGATGCCCATGAGACACCCACGTGGAGCCATCAAGGAAGCAAATATATGTCTGAGTCCAGAGCTCAGGGGAGATTTCAGGGCAAGAGGAAGACATTTGGGCATCCTCACATGTGGATGAAATCTAAAACCACGTGACTGGGCTATATCTATGGGAAGGGAGCTCCCCAACTTCGGGCTGGACTAACGGAGAGACCCAGAGCTTCAGGAACCCAGAACAAGGAGTGAGACCCATTTTCCTGCTGGGAAAGATAAGTCTTGGGTGGCTAAGTGACTTCCCTAAGGTCGCATAATGAGGGATTTGGTGGGGTGAGTATCTAGAGCTTCTGCCTTCCAGCTGGGGTTCTTCTCACTGTCCCCAGGAACAGGCTTTGGGGAGGGATGGTGGGTGGTTGGAACCCCAGGACTCACATTTCCACTACCCCTCCCAGGTCCAGGAGCTGCAGGGTTCCCTGCTGAGACTCGAGCACTTCCCATCTCCCTCCCACAACCAAGTGGGCAGCTCAGGCAGTGGTTCCAGCAGCCCTGGGGCAGAGGGAGAGGCCTGGGGGACTCAGGTAAATGTGGGAATCAAGAGCCCATGATCCTGAGATAGTTCAGAGGAGTGAGATTCATATCCAATTGCTTCTGGGGTTGGAAAAGACCTAAAGTCATGATCCTGGCCCTCAGTGACCATCAGGGTTAATCAAATCACCTTCTCTTGGCAGGACCACTTGCCTCTGGCTCACCCCCTGCTCCTGCGCCTCCGGAGTGATTCCAGCACCCGGATTCTTGCCCCTGAGATGCACATCATGGAAGCCCAGATTGACCAGCTTCGGGGGTAAGGGTCACAAATGCTGAGCTGGGAAGGGCACCACCACCTCCTCCAGCTGGGGTATGAACCAGGAGTCTGGAGTTGGAGCAGGTGAACGGGAGGGATGGAAATCGGATCCTGACTGCCCCAGGAGGCCTCTACCTTTTCCTTTTCCACACCTTCGGAGGCAGGAGCATCGAGAAGCTCAAATGCTTCAACCGTCTGCTATCGGCCGTGCTCCAGGGGTACAAGGGCCGGTGTGAGGGTCTCAGCATGCAGCTGGGCCAGCGGGAGGCTGAGGCCACAGCCCTGCACCTGGCCTTGCAGTACAGGTCAGTACACCCCGCCAATGATGCCCCTGGCTGGAGAGGAGGTGGGCATCCAGGCAATGGCCCCATTTGAAGAGGGAGGCAAGGCCCTCACAAAAAGCAGTTTTACCCACCACAGGAATTAATTAAAGGCAATCTTAGTCCAAAGGTGCTAGGGAATCTGAGTTCTGTAAGGGGTGGGGAGTGGGGAAGAAACTGAGGGTCCCAGGAGCAGTAGAGACTAGAACCCACACAGGAAGGTGGGGGCAGGCTTCCTGGTGGAAAAAGATTGGAGCTGGGGTTTTGAGCGATGAATAGGAGTTTGGTCTCTGGGAGGAGACTAGGAGATCTGGGCGTCCTGGAGCACTCAGGACCGATGTCCTACAGTGAAAGCTGTGCGGAGGCATATGGGGCCCTGCTTGCTCTGCGGAAGGCCGACTTGGGAGCAGCGGAAGGAGCCTCGGTGGGTGACCTGCAGGCAGCTGAGAAGGAAGCATGGAGGCTGCTGGCACAAGAGGAGGCTGCCACAGATGGAGGAGCACCACGGGATGCCCAGCCAAGGTACCCCTGGGGACCCTAGGAACTGGGCTCACCAGTGAGTAAGGCCCTGATTGAGGGGTGGAGTTCCCAAAGATGGCCCTGTCTTGGGGTTTGGCACAGTTGTGTCCAGCAAGGACTGGAGTTGGCCTGTTGCTGCTCAACAACGTTGGCATGGTGGTTGATTGGATTGGCATAGGACCCACCATGGTTGGCACAAAGGTAGATGGATGATGGTGATTAACAAGGTTGACCTGATGATACTTATTGGGATTGGCATGATGCTGCCAAACAGCGTTGGCATGCTGGGTGATGGTGCTCATTGGTGTGAAATGGTGGAGTACTATCAGAACCTGTCTAACTTCAGGGGTAATAATGCGAATCAAGATTAGCATCAGCTCAAGGCTGACTCCTGTGAGGTAGAGGTCAGACATATCTCCTCCTTCCAACATTTTCCCAATTCTGACACCAGCTGCCCCTCCCACGGCACTCTCTACTTCTCTTCTGGGTTCGATAATCCTTTGCAATGGCCACACAAAACTCACGACCGTACTTACAGTTAAGTGGTTTAATAAGGAACTAACAGGGTACAATTCAGGATCAGGCTCAGGAAGCACGTAGGTAGTCACCCTTCTTCAGGTCAGCTCTCTCAGCTCCTCCTGGCCATGCAGGCCTCCTCTTGGCCCCCTCAGGACAGGCTTCTCTTAGCCCTGATGTCTGTTACCACTAATTCCACAGAGCCCTTTCCAAGCCTGTCACTGCCAGCTCCGCTGCTGAGCCCCCTTCTGGGCCTCTCACTGTCTTCAGTGTTAAAGCCCTTGTTACAGCTCTATTTAGGAGGTTCCTTGTCTCCTATCCTTCTCTCTCTCTGTTTATCTCTTCTTTCGTACTTTTGCTTTTTCCTATTGCTTTCCTTCCTGCTTCTTTCCATCTGAAAAACCTCTGTGGGGGTGGCTGCTTATATACGCAAACTCCTTGTCAATTTCAATGCATGGCCCTCCCCCCAGGGCCACAGATTTACCAATTCCCTCTTGGTAGGCCACAGACACTTCGTTTGCACAGTCTATTGATCAATCCCTGCAAGGTGCATACCAATCCCAGGGCAGGCTACAGCTCAGGGCCAGAAAAAAGGTATCAAACTAAGTTGTTTACAGCTTTCCCAGGAAATGTCCATCAACCTGGACAAATGTAACAAACCTTCTTGGGTAGAAAACTAGGGCAAAAGTAACTTCTCAGAGTTTAGGGGAAAACTCTCCCAAGCTGTTTTTCCAAAGAACCAAGGCAAAAGGCCACATAAAGGAACTCATTTCACCACACTTGGGTTGGTGTGATGGTGTCCACCATGATGGCATGAGTGATGGTGTCTATTAGGTAGTCATGATGGTGACCACCATGTTGCCTTGATGGATGGTGGTGCCCATTGGATGGTCATGATGTCTTGGTGAATCATGGTGCCTGTCTTAGTTATCTAGTGCTGCTATAACAGAAATACTACAAATGGATGGCTTTAACAAACACAAATTTATTTTCTCACATTTTAGGAGGCTAGAAGTCTGAATACAGGGTGCTAGCTATAGGAGAAGGCTTTCTTTCTCTGTTGGCTCTGGAGGAAGGTCCTTGTCTCTTTGAGCTTCTGCTCCTGGGCAGTTTTCATGTGGCTTGGCATCTCTCTTCCTCCATCTCTGCTTGTTAGCTTGCATTTAATCTCTTATTGACTCAAGATACACCCTACACTAATCCTGCCTCATTAACATAACAAAGACAACCCATTCCCAAATGGGGTTATAACCACAGGCACAGAGGTTAGGATTTACAACACATATTTTGGGGGGACACAATTCAATCCATAACAGTACCCACTGGGTTAGTGTGATGGTCCACCATATTATCTTGATCAATGATGGTGCCCATTGGTTTGGCATGATGGTGTCCACCATGTTGTCTTAATGGATGATGGTGCTTATTGGGGTTTACTTTATGGTGACCACCATGTTGGTATAAGAGGGTCCACCACAGATGGCATAAGATCCATCATAGCCAGTGAAATGGAAGATGATGGTGCACCAGGGTTGGCATGAGGTTAGCACAACCATGCCCACCGGTGTTGACATAGACCCCTCTTCTGTCTCCCGTAGCCCTGAGGGCAGCAGTGTGGACAGGCCCACACTACAGGAGGTGGTTACCCAGCTCCGCAGCTACATCCAGCGGCTCCAGGAGCACAGTGCTCTGGTGAAGATTCCCCTGGAGCCCGGTCCCACCCTGGCACCCATGTCCAATGTGCCCCAGGCAGAAGCCATGCTGCAGGCCATGTTGGAGACCCAGCCTGGTCCAGCTCTACCCCGACTGGAAAAGATGCAGATCCAGCAGGACCTAGCAACCACACGGGTACTTGTGGGCTGTGGTCACCCTGTCAATCATTCCTGCCAAGAAAAAGCTTTTTCTGCTAAGGCAGAGAGGGGCGGGGCTGGGGGGACTAAGGAGCAAGGGAGGGATCTTCGGGCTGGAAGCAGGCTTCCTGGAGGAAGGAGAATTACAGCTGTGGTTTTGAGGGGTGAATAGCAGTTTGTCCTCTGAGTTTCAGTTCCTCATTAGATTCCCAATCTGGCTTTCAAAAATGCCCTTCCTATGGGAAAGAGGGGAGCCCTGGTGGCGCAGTGGTTAAGAGATAGGCTGCTAACCAAAAGGTTAGCAGTTTGAATCCACCAGCTGCTCCTTGGAGACCCTATGGTGCAGTTCTACTCTGTCCTATAAGGTCGCTATGAGTCAGAATTGGCTCAACGGCAACAGGTTTTTTTTTGGTTTATGGGAAAGAGATGAGGACAGAGGACATTATCTTGGGTTTGTAGCCTTGCATGAAAGACTCCAGGTTCTGGAGTTGAAGAAACTCAGATGCTCCCACTGAACTGGTACTTAACCTTGTCTGAGATACTTGCCTTCTCTGAACAGCCATTCTACAGCCATATATATATATGTGTGTGTGTGTATTTACATATATATACGTAAGTATATGTCAAACTTTTATTTATATATTGTGGTAAATATATAAAAGACAACACAGTGGACACCATCACACTAACCCAATGGGCACCATCATCCACCAATCCAAAACAAAACATTTGACATTTCAACAATCTTCACACAGCCAGAGCTTTTCTGTTGTTGTTAGGTGCCGTCAAGTTGATTTTCGACTCATAGCGACCCCATATGACAGAGTATAACTGCCCCAAAGAGTATCCTAGGCTGTGAACTTTATGGGAGCAGGTGGCCAGGTCTTTCTCCTGTGGAGTCACTGGGTGGGTTCAAACCACCACCTTTCAGTTAGTAGCCAAGAGCTTAACCATTGCTCCATCAGGGCTCTTTAATATTTTCCACCTCACAAGATCATGGTGAGGGTCAGACTTCTTGCCTGCCCAGCCCTAATGAATGCATGCCTCAGCTTCCCTAATGGTCGACCCTATTGTTATTGTTGTGGTTAGGTGCCGTCGCGTTGGTTCTGACTCATAGTGACCCTACGTACAACAGAATGAAACACTGTCTGGTCCTGCACCATCCTCACAATTGTTATGCTTGAGCCCATTGTTGCAGCCACTGTGTCAATCCATCTCGTTGAGGGTCTTGTTGTTACTAGCTGCTGTCAATTCAGCCCCCCATTCATGGCAACCCCATGCACAAAGATTGGACTGTTATGATTCATAGGGTTTTCACTGGCTGATTTTTGCAAGTCAATCTCCAGGCCTTTCTTCCTAGTCCATCTTAGTCTGGAAACTCCACTGAAACCTGTTGAGTATCATAGCAATATGCAAGCCTCCACTGACAGTTAGTGGTGGCTGCGCATAAGGTACACTGACTAGGAATCAAATCATATGGAAGGCGAGGGTTCTACCACTGAATCGCCATTGCCCTCCGTGGTTGGACCTTAAGGCACAAGTTCTCTGCCCTCTCCTTGGCTCCTCAGGAGACCCTGGCGGACCTGACACTACGGCTACAGCTGGCGCGCCGGGAGAAGCGGGGCCTGGAGCTGCGGGAGGCTGCCCTTCGTGTCCTGGGCCCGGTCCACTTGCTCCTGCTGGAGCAGCTGCGGTGGGAGCGGGCCCAGCTCCAGACTGGCGAGGAGGACAGCAGTGGTGGAGACAGCAGTGGAGGCGGGAGCAGCGGGGGCGAGGAGGAATGGGCCCAAGTGAGAGGCTCATCTGGACCTGGGAGGGATAGCAGTATACTACCAGCTGTGTGGCCCCAGAGACTCATGGGCCCCTCTGAGCTTTGGTTTCCATTTCTGCACGGAGAGGCACGTATAATAGTTAAGCTGAGTGTCAAGGTTCACACTTATACTTTGGGATTTCTTTCTTTGAGGATATTGAGCCCAATAAGCCCCAAGGGGTTTAATATGTTCTCCTCAAACCTATTCCTTGTCTTTCATCCCACCTTCAGGCCTGTCCATGCTCCCCCTCTCCACCCCTGCTGCCCCAGCCTTTGCCTCATCTCCTAAATCTTAGCTCCAGCTTCCTCCCTGAGGCCTCCCCTTTTGCTCCTTTCTGTCTGATCTTGCCTGTCCTCTGCTTAAAGCCTTCCGTGGCTTTCCGGAACTTTCAGAGTCCAGGCTCTTTAATGTGGCTCTTTGAATAGCTCTCCCACCTCCAAGCCTTTGCACATGCCAGGCAATACCATTCCCTCTTTGTCTAATTTGATCCTTGACCTTCTGCAGGTCTCAGCTCAGACATCACCTCCTCAAGGAAGCCCTCCTGGGTCACTTTCAGATGAGGTTCCGATTTCTTATTTCCCTTGTCAGGGAATAATTTTATCTTTATCAGGGGCTCTGTGAGGGTAGAGACATGGCTCCCACCATCTGGGTGTTTTAGGTTTCCACCTTAGGCTTAGCACACTTGGACAATGTCACTTCCCTTCCTTCTGCCCCCCCCTTAGGGCCCTCCTGCTGTCCCTGGTGGCACTTGTGGCATTGATGGAGGCCAGGTGGGCAGGGTGCAGGACCCAGAGGAGCTAGCCCAGGAGTTGGAGGCATCGCTCACCCGGTGTGTGCCTGGGTTCCGGCCTGGGAAATGGGAGTGCTTGGGGAGGCCAGGGTGCACACCTGTGTACAGGTGTGTTCACCTGGAAACACTGCGTGCAGGTAGGTGGGAGGAGGGGAGGCACAGTGATTGGCCATGGCTGTGAACCCCTCTCTCCACCCCTGCACTAGGGCTCTGGACCTGCAGGGGCAGCTGCAGAGTCTTAGGAAAGAGCTGGAACAGGTGGCTCAGAAGTCTCGAGCCAGACGCACTCAGAGTGCCAAGCTGAACAGTGACTTATGCAAAGCTCACAGGTGGGCCCACTGCTCTGTGTCCTCGTCCTGCCTCCCTGGTCACTTCAGCAGTGACCTGGCTCTCTCTGGGCCTCAATTTCCCCTCTGTGAGGTGGGCAGTGCATTCATTCCATCCCATACCTCCCTGATGCCCAGTGGGACCCCAGGAGGACCCAATCCCAGGGAGTTCCCGTCTGGGGATGAGGGAGGGGCTGTTTCCTGGCTCAGCCCCCACCCCCTCCAGCGCCCTGGTCCTGGCCTTCCGAGGAGCACAAAGGAAGCAGGAGGAGCAGCAGCGGAAGCTGGAGCAGCAGGTGGCACTAATGGAAGCCCAACAGGCAGAGGAGCTGGCTGTGCTGGAAACCGCTTTGAGGGCTTCGGGAAGGCCCCAGCCGCCCCGCCTGCCACCCCGGCTGGGGGAGACCCTTCTGTAGACCCCGCAATGGGTTGTGTCTGGATGCGCCACAGAGTCGTGGCTGGTGATGTCATAAACTCCCTGGAGTGACTATGTGACCTGGCTTGTTGGGACGTGTTTGGCGTGTGGTGGCCTGGGGCAGGGTGACTGGGTGTTTGAGAAAGACTTAATGCCTTAGAGGTCGCTGGGTGGTGCAAACAGTTTGCACTCAACTACTGAGAAGTTGGTGGTTAAAAGCCATCCAGTGGTACTGCAGAAGAAAGGCCTAGCAAACTGCTTCCAGAAAGATTACAGCCATGAATACCCTATGAAGCAGTTCTACTCTGTAACACACGGTGGCGCCGTAAGTTGGAATTGACTAGACATCGGTGGTTTTTTTTTTTTAAAGTTTTAGGGTCTGGCCTGGCACCATCTGGAGTATAAGCCTGGCATATCATCGGGGTTGGGCAGGAAGCAGACTGGGCTGGGGGGGACAGTCCCCAGGGAACCAGAGACAAAGCTCTCCCACTCAAGCTGGGGGCCGAGGGGACAAAAAAGGAAACTGAGGCCCAGCCAGTTTCCGAAGTTAAGTAGCCAGAGCTAAAGTTCCAGCTCCCATCTGGGAGGGGTCTGTGGGGGGAAAAGGGGGCAGACACACCTTCCCTGCCCATCCCTTCACAAGGAGATGCTGGGTTTGGCCCGGGAGATGCTCACGAGGAGGATGAGGCCCATATCACAGAAAGGAAACTGAGGCCAGAACAGTTCAGGGTGTGCAAAGAGGAACGTTACCTCAAAAGAGCATTTGTTTCCAGGGTAGAGATGGGGGAGAGAGGACCAGGGAGGTCTTTGGAATTTGACTTCGAAGAATTTACAACTAAGGTAGGGCGCTTCTGGGTGAAGTGCAGACTTTGGCGCTTTGGGCTGCGGACAGATGAGGAGTTCAGAGTATGCGCTAATGGTGGGCAAAGAGGCAGATTTTTTTTTTTAAATATATATATATTTTTTATTGTACTTTAGATGAAGTTTTACGGAACAAATAGTTTCTCATTTAACAGTCAGTACACATATTGTTTTAAGACATCCTTAACAACCCCACGACATGTCAACACTCTCCCTTCTCAACCTTGGAGGACCTTTTTTTTGGTGAAAATATACATAGCCAAGGTTACACCATTTCAAAAGCTTCTACATGTACAATTCATTGACATCAATTACATTCTTCTGGTTGTGCTGTTATTCTCACTATCCTTTTCCAAATTATTCCATCACCATTATCTTCAACTCACTGCCTCCTAGGCTTCCCATCAAACCTTTTGAGTAGCTGTTGTCAATTTGATCTCACATAGATAATTCTTTTTGTTTTTTGTACGTTAGATGAAGGTTTGCAAAACACTTTTTCATTAAATAGTACACATATTGCTCTATGACAGTGGTTAACAACCCCACTACATGTCAACACTGTCCCTTCTCAACCTTGGGTTCCCTACCACTGGCTTTCTTGTCCCCTCCTGCCTACTAGTCCTTGTCCCTGGACTGCTGTGAATGAGGCAGATTTTTGACCTCCAGGGCGGGGAGTGCCCCTGGCCAGGCTGAGAAGTTCAGGCTCTTCCTGAGGCTGATGGGAGCTATGGGAGGTGTTTATGCCTGGTTAAATAGTTTGCACTCGACTACAAACCTAAAGATTGGTGGCTGGAAACCACCCAGTGGTACCACAGAAGAAAGACCTGGCAATCTGCTTCCATAAAGAATACAGCCAAGAAAACCCTATGGAGCAGTTCTACTCTGACACACATGGGGTCACCACAGATCAGAGACTCCACAGCAGTGGGTTTGGTTTTTTAACAGCAGGCAACTGATTAGTGTGCATTTGCATAGGCCACACTTCCTGGCCCCTCTTGGAATGGCCTAGCTGGGCCTAGAAAGCTGGGGTAGGCTTTGCCCCAGCCTGGTGGGATTAGTGGCCAGCTGTCCTCTCCTGGGTGGTCACTGAAACCCAAGACAGGGATTAGAAAGCATTTTGTGTCCAGCCTAGAGGAGGAGGGATCCGGGTCACACCTGTGCAGGTGCGTGCAGGGTGCTGCCTCTTTCAAGAGGGGGGCCGTATGCCTGTGGTCAGTGCTAGTCAGTGGCCGAGCCTGGACTTCAGTCTGGTCTGCCTGAGTCGAGAGGCAAGAGAAGGGAGAAACAGCCACCTCTAACTTCTGGGGCTGGTCACTTTTGGGCGTCCTTCAATGTCTTTGGACCCAGCTGATTTTGAAGAAAGCAGGGAAGCTGAGGCAGGCGAGGCTGCCAGTGGGGGGGAGGGGCAGAGGAGCTGACCTTGCCCTCCTCCCCAAGAGTCCAAGAGCAACCTAATCCCCCCAGGCTGCCCGTGGGGGAAAGGGGAGCCAAGATCATCCGTTGGAGGGTGGGGTAAGACTTGGCGGGGTGGGGGGAGTGGGGAGGGGGAGGAAGGGCCTGTGGTCGTCCGTTGTGGGGTGGGGGCCTGTTCCCAGGCTGCCCAGGAGCATGGACTGGTTGTTCCCACCGATGCCCTCTCGGCAGATGGGCCTAGGACGCTTTGTCCTAGCTTTGCAGCCCCTGCGAGGTCAAATGTCACTGCGGGGCCACAGGCAGGGGTCGGGGGGTGGGGTCAGGCCTGAACTCACCCCCAGGTGGGCCCCAAGCGGAGAGGGGTGCTACTGGGAGGGGGCAGGGTGGCCACCAGGGGCTGGAACAATTGGACGCTCTAGGGTTTGTCCCTCAACCCTGCCCAGCCTCTCCCTTCTGATCCCCCATCCCCACTCTCTCAGGCTAGTCCTCCTCAGTTCCTCACCTCCTGCCCAGACCCACTCTGAATACCCTCCCTGAGACTTGTCTCCCTTCTAAGTGCCTCTTTTGGATCACTTCTCTGAGACCCCCCAACCTGTGTCCCTGAGCAACGATCCAGCAGGTCCAGGCCACAGGCCTAGGACCCCCTGGCTTCTCCCCAAATAACCAGTCAGCCCCCACTCACTCCCAGGCAGCCCAGAACCAAAGGGTCCTCTCTGCCCACCCACGCCTCTCTCCCCCAGCAGGGCTTTTATCAGGCTGTGGTCAAAACTCAACCCCAGTCAGAGCTGGGGGTACTACTGTGCGGGTCAAATGGTTAAGAGCTCATCAGCTAACTGGAAAGTTGGAGGTTGGAATCCACCCAGAGGTGCCTCTGAAGAAAGGCTTGATGATCTGCTTCCAAAAGTTCACAGCCTTGAAAACCCTATGGGGCACAGTTCTACTCTGCAATACAGGGACTGGGAATCAACTCAAAGGCAACCAGTTTTTGGTTTAAGGCTTCCCTCACCAGGAACCCAGCCAGGCCCTCCCTGGGAGGCTAAGAGGCTCAGGGCTGGGTGGGCTTGACTCTCCCTGAGCCTCAGTTTCCTTCAAAGTGTTGCATGATCTCCAAGCACCTTTGCCCCAGGGAGGGCACCTCCTCAAGTCTCATCTGTGGGGGGGGGGGTGCGGGGGGGAAGGCTCTTTCCCAAGGCCCCCCCTTAGGAGCAGCAGGGGAAGAGGGTACTGCTTCCATACAGCCTGAAGCCCTCAGAGGCCCAGCCCATGTGCCCTGGTGTCAGGCTGGGCCCAGAGCAGGGACGGAGACAAGGCCGGGCGCTGGACCTGTGGGGCTGCCGAGGGGAAAGGTCAGCGCAAGAAGGGCTCCAATAGCCAGTTAAATGTTAACAGGTCCAGTGGGAGAGACTCGCCTTCTCCTGCCCGGGGTTGTCCGGCCTCCTCTCAAACCAACGGTGCCTAATAAATGCGGGGGCTGGCGGGGGCTGGCGGAGGCTGCAGGCCGGAAGACATCTGCAGTCCAGCTGGCCGACCAGCCCAGCCCAGCCCTTTCTGTAAAGCACAAAAAGAAAAGGAAATTAAAGGGGAAAGGGGGAGGCTCCGGAAGGGTCGGTGGGTGGGCCGTGCCTTGCCGTGCCCCCAGCCTCACCAGGCGGGTGGGCGCCCTGCCCCTGGTTAGGGGCCCCCTCTGACCTCGCGCTCCCAGCCGTGCGCAAACTACAATCTCCCTTCCCTTTGGAGATCCCAGCCACCGAGCAAAGAAAGGGTGGGGTGGGGGACCAGTCGTGGTGACTTTCTTGAAGTGGCAGCTAGCAGTCAATTCATCATGGAACTGTGCAAAGAAATGCCCCAGGGTGTGCGTGCATCCGTGTGTGTGTGTGCGTGTGCGTGAGTGTGAGTGCGTGCGCCTGTGCGTGCGTGCGTGTGTGTGTGTGTGTGTGTGTGTGTGTGTGTGTGTGTGTACGTGTGTGTACGGAGAGATCTTTAGCGCAGGGACATGTCCACCCTGCTCCCGTGGAACCGGCCCCCCATTATTGCTCTGCCGGGAAGACCAGAGGGGGTTTGCGAGGGGATCCTCGAGGGCGGAGAGCGATGCAGCGTCCAAGGCCGGCGGCAGAGGGGAGGACCTGGGCGAGACTTCTAGGCTAGGCTGCGGAGGGCAGAGGGCGCCGCGGGCCAGCAGGGGTTAAGGCCTGCGCTGGCCGCCATCAGGGGCGGAGCAGGGGGAGAGGGGGG